GCCACCTGCTCTTTGAGCAGGAGCCATGAGTCCAGGAGAACCCCCAAATTACACACTGGGTCTGTCTGGGTCAGTGCTACCCCATCCAGCACCAACGATGACAATGTCCCAGATACAGAAGAGCCATTAACCCACAGCCATTCCGTCTTACCAGGGTTCAGCTGGAGCCTGTTATGGATTGAGGGTCCACTCATACTGGGCAAGCAAGTGACAATTGTTTTCCTTTCCATGGGTGGGTCTTTGAGTACATGTGGTTTTAACTTCTATTAGCAAACAACATACAGCATAGAAACATACCACCAGATAGGACCTTAGAAGTCTTCTACAATTGGAAGGGACTTGTGAAATCATTTCATCCACTGAGAAACCTCCCTATAAAGATTTCCCTAAATGCAGTGTGGATGCTATTCCATCCATGTGAATGGACATCCAATAGTGATTTATCTTCACCATGCATGCTATGCTCATCAATGACCAACACCTGGACAAGGCACTATAAATGCCAAAGACAAAGGAAAAAGTGCCCTAGTTACCTTGTCAGCAGGAAGGTTAGAAAGTGGGACTATGCAGTAATGGAGGATTGTCTTTATGTTATGCTATTTGGAAAAGATTTAGCAGAACATATGTAGGACACTCCCAAAGGAGACAAGAACTGAGAATCAGCCAGGATGGCCCTCCTGATGCTGGTTGCAAGGGATCACTTAGAGTTTTCCATGAAAAACAAGGACAAACTGGATTTTCCCTCTTTAGTGAATTCCAAGAGAAATTAGCTTATTTCCAGGGGCATCTTTGGTGGGGAGTGGGAGGGGGGGAGTTTAAAAAATTCAAGATAGTCACTATTGCTTGAAGACCAGTCTCTTTTTTAAGTGCATCAGACATGTGACATAGGTAAAAAGGGGACACCAAAACATCTAGAAATAGGATTTCACCTAAACCTCCCAGTGTTAAGAAAAATAACAAGGAAAAAAAATGCAGAATGAAAAATCTGTGCAAAGGGAAAGGGATAATTTAAATATTTATTTATTTATTTATTATTTAGATATATATGAGGCTGCCTAACTCAACACTGGCTCTGGAAGGTGTATATTTAAAAAAAGAAAAAGCACAATATCTAAAACCAAGCAAAAGAGAATAAACATAATAGGGAACAAACATACATCAAAACTGAAACAAATGATACACAAAGAGTAGGATTTTCCATGAAGATCATAGATGCCTGGGGGAATGAGGTAAATGAAGACCTTCTTTAAGCTAATCTGGTCCTTTTAGAACTTGGTATACTATACCAATACTCTGAATCTGGCTTTGTAGCAGGCTGACAGTCAGTGAAATTCTTTTAGAACAGTTATGGTATGTACACACCATGACATCTCAGCCAGTAACCTAAGATATTGCATTCTAAAATAAACCATGAAACAGTAAAGTAGGTTAGAATTGTTATTACAGTGACAGATTTGAAATTAAGTAGGGGATAGAAGCTTGCTTACAGCAGTGCAACCTGAACAGCAGGCTCCCAGTCCAGCTCTTGCTTCTAGTCAATAACACTATGATGCCTACACACATATGTTGTAAATAGCTGGACTTTTACAGGCAACTTTTCAGAAGAATCTACAATAGCTGTTCACTCTCCAATAGCTATCTGTGGCTCTGATAAATCAAGCCCTTAAACTGCATTACCCTGGAGTTCAGTTTAGCAATGCTTAGTGAAAAACTAAAATCTATTAAAATCCAATATTCCCACTGAGCCTATTCCTAGCCAGACATTCTTATGACTTCCTATTTCTGTGTCTTAAAAAGAAATAGAAAGAATAACTGACCATAGAAATAATAATTCTTATCTAAGAATATGTAGTAATGAATTCTCAAACAACTATAAAAGAAATCATTTGAAACAGCTAGAAAAACCGCAGGCTGATAACAAAAGATACCAAATATATACCCCCTTCTTAAATTGGCAATTCAGTATAAGTGCTTTATTTTTAGCCTCCCATAATCATCTTTTTTTTTCCTCCTCTGATCTTCTATGATTCTATTAGATGATTTGTTCCAATATGACTATATGCCTGGAAAAGTACAGATGTTATGTCATTATTCTCTACTGTTATGGTGTTACAAAAGACTAGGGAGCTTTTGATTAGGAATATAAGTATTAAAAGATAAATTTGGTAAATACTGGAATTGGCACTGTAAATTAAGAACTAATGAGCAATTGGTTAAACCATAATAGAAGCACCTATAAAACCAGATGACATTAAATGGTGCTTACTACAATAAACTTACAGAGAACAATGACACATTCTCTTTACACATACAAAGTACAAAAAATATTTGTAGTAAATTATCACATATTTCCTGTAAAGGAAATATCATTCAAGGAAACTAAAAGAAGAAAAAGTTATAAGTGTAAACAAATTAATGAAAAACACAATTATAAAGCCAGAAATGAAACTTACAGTAATATTGTATTACCTCTTTATTTACTAATTCATTTAATCATTTCTTTAGCCAATTACTAGATCTCAAAAAGCTATGCATGATAGGACCTAATTAGTAATTGGATGGGAGTACAGGAAATGAAAGCTGGATAAGAAATCAAAACACATACAAACAAGCCATTTAAAAATACTTACCTCAGAAATATTGTATTTTTTGTTATGTTCCCACAGAAATGCGGTAGAACAATACAGTATGCACTAAATAAATAAAACAATTCATCCAGAACAATCACTTTTATGTCATTTTTCATTTTTTAAAAAACAATATCCTTTTGCAGCAGCATGTCAACACACTTGTACAACACAAGCCGCAAGAGGAAAACTCTTTAAAAGGAAGATACTCACAACCCAGTTCTTGGTCAATCAAAAGCCAAGACCAGGCTAAGCTGACAATTAAGAAAACAGGATATGTACTGAATTTAAATCTCTCCCAACTCCAAAGGGTAGGAGCCTGCTTCACTGTCTGGGCAATAATTTGGATGTGTGCCAATATTATTAGCACTTAGTTTGGCATGAGTTTAAATATGATGCACGTGCCTCTTCTCTATTCTACCTCATCTCCATTTTTTTTTTTAAAAAAAGGTTTCCATTTTGATTATCTACCATCTAATCAGAATTGACTCCAAGTGACCACATAAGATAGATTTTCTCCAGGACGACCTGTCCCCAACCTGGTTCTTCAGATCTTTTTATGGTATACCCATTGCTGCTCTAATTGAGACCATCCATCTTGCTTCTGCCATTTTCATTTTCTCTTTTCTTGCACCTTTCCCAGCATTATAAGCTTCTCCAGAGAGCTAAGTCTTTGTTTAATGTGTCAAAATAATTTGAATTCTTCAGATAGCAGAGTGAAATTGTGATTCAATCTAACCTCCTCTAACAAATGCATCTTTTAATTGGATTTATGCCCTGGATGGCATTGGTAGTTACTTTTCTGAAAAGCAAATTTCCTATCCACAGATATTAAAATCTGGTGTAGTGGTTTAAGATTCTGGGCTAGAAATCAGAAGATTGTAAATTCTAGTTCTTCCTTAGGCATGAAAGCTGGCTGGATGGCCTTGGGCCAGTTATTTTCTCTCAGTCCAATCGACCTCATGGGGCTGTTGTTGTAGTGAAAATATGAGGAGGAAGCACTATGTACACTGACTCAATATGACAAATAAAGGCAAGATATAAATCAAATAAATAAATGAAGTGCATAATTAATTCAAAGCCTCCATATTTTGAAATGTTACAAACCTCCATAAAATTAAAGTTCTTATTCACCTTTTTACTCTTACAAAAAGTTAAAATAAATTAACTGGATATTTTTATACCAACTGGTTTACATGGCATTATGATACTTAATTAATTTAACTACCTATGTGCAATATTGTACTTTAAAAATTGGAATGTAACATAGTATAACTGAAAGAATATAATTAATCATAGAACATTTGTAACATAGGACCACTTACCGCTATATCTATGTCAAGATTTATTGCATGAAAAGCATTTACAAGTATCAAGGCATTGTGAAAATATTGTTCAGAACTTGTTGGATGAGTGTACATATTCACAAAGTGAGTTGAAATCTGCAGCCAAAAAGAAAATGAATTTTTTTTCTGAGCGATCTTATTGAATAGTTAGAAGCATTTTATTAGCAACCCTATTTGACCAATCCTGAATATTTTAATATATCTGCTCCTCTGCTATTCTTTTTCCAGGAGTTTTGAGATGAAACTCCAAAACAGCTAAATCTCTCTTCCCCCCCACCCTTTAGAACACTGCAGCTCATTTTGATGACACCTTATCTGAATGGGACACTTCTATATCTCTGCAGTAATAATCCTCATTTCTTCACCTTTTAGCCCTTCAAGAATTAGCTGCTTTTCTCTCCATTACAAATATTTAAATCCCCCTTATAGCAAGTCCTGCCAGTGGTATATTTACTCTTCACAGGAAGCAGCTCTCCAACATTTCAGGACAAAGGTCATTCCAAGCACTGTTCCCTGGTAGATTTATTCATAAACTATTTAAAAAATATGTGCTTCACTAAGACCACTCTCAATTTTCATTTCTAGTTTCTTGAAGACAAAATTATATTAAATATCACTTATCCTTCTTTTACCCTTTTTGTCCCCTGCTTCCCTAACCAGATCTCCAATCATTCCTGTGTTTTCAAGTGCACTCAGTGGTTCAATCAACACCTCCCCTGAAACTACTTGAACTAAATTCAAAGCCATCATAGTGAAACAAGAATGGTTCTGCTGTAAAATTATTTAGCCATCATGTTGACAGAACATCTAAACTACTCGAGACCCAACACACCAAGAAGGTAACCTTTGCTGCAATGACACAGTTGGGAATATGGCTGCTGATACTGAAACAGAATTACAAAATGCTAATCAAGAAGAGCAGTATAACTATAGGATGATTTAAAAAATACTACGTTAAGCAAGAGAGTTTTGAGAACAGCTATAAAGAAACAGCAATATCTGCAGCAAGCTGCAATGGTACCAAAATAGCAATACACACAGAGTGATCTCATCACACAAATGCTCCAATTACATTGTGCCTTGACAAATGATGAAAGTATCTAAGTCATGGCATTTGCATTGTCACATACATTTAAGTATTTGCCCCTCTGTGGAGCAAGGAAGAGAGGCAGCCTTTTAAGTAAAGAAAACAGATGAATTCAACCACAGGGAACAGCATGATGAACAGAAAAAAATAGTGTTGGTATCCTTCAGTTTCCTTTAATAAAAGTGTGTCATCCATCAGGACCCAAGAAACGTGCCTTCTCTACTGTGGCGTTTGCCACAGAATGAAGTTCTCCCTTAGATATGGGTGGCTCCCACCCTTTTGGCATTCCAGAGGCCCTTAAGGACTTGGTTGTCCTCACAGGCCTTGGGTCAGGCAGCCAGAGCCCCTTGCAGGATGTTGGTTGCATATGCTCTGGTGTTATTGGCCAGATTCCCATCTTGTTCTTCTCTTCTCTTTTCTAGTTTGCTTCTTGTTCTGTGTTAACCTGTTCTTATTTATCTGGGGTTTTTTTTATTCTATTCACTGAATTGTTAGTTGCCCAGATTTGTTTTGGAGTCAGGTGGTACCAAATTGAATAAAATAAATAAATAAACCTAAAGATAAAGGAAAAGATTCAACACTAGAGTGGAACATTCAGATAAAAGAGAAGATTTAGCAAGGAGTTTGAGCATAGTTTAAAAAGTAACACGCTGAGGCGAAGAGAAAGAGATATAAAATGTACCAGCCAAAGTGATAACCATATTAAATAAGTAGCTTAAACAGTAATAAAATGATAAAGTTGTATTATTTTTATTTGGTTCAAACTTCATGAACGTACCATATTGGCTTTTTCTATTAATATACTAAAATGTATTATAAATAAACCAAAAAATAACATTTCTATCAAAAAGTTTTTAAAATCTTTCTTACCAAATAGGGGCAATAGCTTGCTACTTGTGCAGCAAGGACAAGGCCATCAAGGAGATCTCTATCGAAGTTAACTATCCATCTTGTTGGAGGCATGTCCCCTATTTGAAATGAGATTTTAGAATTTCATAGTGCAAAATATGTGGACTTATAAAAGTGCTGTGTTTTTTCTTTGTTGGAAAGATACTGCAATGTATCTGGTAAACCTGACCCATCTTACAACTATTAAAAGTTATTCACTCCCCCACTAAATAGTATTATTAGGTTTCTGACTTCTCCATAAATCTGCTAGACAAGGATCATACCCCTGCAAGCTGAGGCAGAAAAGAAAACCATCTATATATAGGTACACTCAGAGAACCAGGGAACAATTTCCCATCTTGCTGCATTCTTTCTAGTTTGTCTTTGGATTACAGTTTCCCAGAGACTCCTGGCACCCAGAGAACGGTCTCTCTTCATAGGAACTGGCCCCAACTCCCAATGGAGGCCACCTGCCCAAGATTTTTTTAGCCTCCTGAGAATGGAGCAGAAGAGGTGCAACATCCAGGGGCATAAAGTCACTTCCAAAAGAGTAACTTCATAAGGAGCCAGGAGCATCACATTGCTTTGTTTTCTCATAGTTTGTTCTTTTGGCCATTGAACAGCATAAGATAACATAAAACTATAAAATTTTACAACCCTTCAGACCATACCTATAGATTATGAGAAACATACATAAAGGATTATAATTAATAGCACAGAAACAAAGAAAATAAAGTCTACAAAGAATTACAAGATGAATTATAACTAATATTAATACTAAAATTGTATTTAATATTAATATTGGTATACAACAATAACTGTCTATTCTTCTAAAGATAATAAAATTGTATAGATATTATATCTAAAATATTGAAAGAAAAGGGTAAAATATTGTTCTATGCAAAAAAAAACCCCAAACTTATGACAATAGAATATGGGTCTAAATGCTAAAAATAACCAAGCACATAACAGTCAACAACACAACAGTGCAAAGTGTAAGGATTTTGTTGGATCTAATTAACTCTTACTGACAGTCATTTCTTGGCAAATTTTACAAGCTTCTGCCCCAAATTTAGCAACCTTGCATGTCACAAAATAATTACCATCTGAAAGAAGTGAGAAAACATAAATTGGTCTGCACAACCTGGCAGTCATATAATATTAGAGAAATCAGACTTTGACTGCCTCTATAAAATGAACAGTAGAAAGAGACATGTTCAATAGTTTCAGTGTGCCCAGAGCCACAAAATAATTACCATCTGAGAGTAGTCAGAAAACATAAATTGGTCTGCACAACCTGGCAGTCATATAAATATTGGAGAAATCAGACTTTGAATGCCTCTATAAAATGAACAGTAGAAAGACACATGTTCAATAGTTTCAATGTACCCAGAGCCATAGGGGCAAACTTCATTTTCTATATACAGTATGTGCATACTGTACAGTATGTGAGGTAGCAGTTTTCAACTGGCAACAAATCTACATTCTTGATTGTATCATGGACTGCTATAAAGAGATGCATTGAGGTCAGTGAGAGAGAAAATGGAAAATGGCCTGGGAGCAAATAATGAAGCAGTAGGGGAATATACGTATGGTGGGAAACTGCAATTTGCTATTACAGGTAGTCCTTGCTTAACGACCATTCATTTAACAGTGGTTCAAAGTTAAGACAGCCTTGGAAAGGGTGCTTTTTGGCCCATAAAGCACTTCCAGCCATTGTAAATAATAATAAGTGTAGTGTCTGTGTTCTATAGGAATTCTGTTTAACTGATCAAATACTCCATCTGGATGGCAAGGAAAATGTAGGGATACATTTGGCATATTTCCCATCACACTGCCTAACAGTCTGTCATCCTAAGAGAATGCCAAGGTGGTCCTTGGCATGATGTTGAATTAATCTACATTGTGGTAATGAAATCAGGGAAGAGTACTTACTTTTCTGTCTGTATTTCATCCTTACACAACAGACCAGTATTGCTCTTCCATATTATAAATCATCTCCTTTATCAACATATTGGAAGGGGGAACCAAAATAATCAGTGACTTTCTACGAACAATTCATATGTTCTTTGGACATAAAGTCAATCAGGTTCACCTCAGATTGGACTCGAGTAACAAGGTAGGTCATAAAACTGTAAACTCAACAACTAGCAGCCCTGTTATTTTGGAATTTTATTTTATTTTTGCTAGTAGACCTTGAGGATACAGACAATATTTGTAGAGAAATGAGGATTACTACCTGCTTACTTGACCTGTGCCTTCTGGCTATTAAAATGAGTCAGGATGGGACTGGTTAAAAGAGCAAGACTTTGTCTCTTTGAGTGAGAAATGTTTTTCCCATGTTTAAGGGATACAGATGTAACAGCTCTATTGAGGAATCGATCCCTTGACTGTAAACCTGTGCACATATAGGGCAATGTTAAATATTCCATTTGCTCTAACAGGGGGCATGTGGTATATGTCTGTCTGTTTGTCTATATGCGTACTGTAGTTAATAGCTGGACACCATGGAAATTAACCATATGTTCATATCATTAAATATATTATTACTTCTAAAATGATGAATTTTGTTATTATTTATACATATCTATATTTGAATATTAGTATACAGTACATGATAAATTTGTTGAATGTATTTGAATTACTTGGATTTATTTCTCTAACAAATGAAACTGTATTCTATTATGTAAATGAAACATTTTCTGTTTACTGATATATAGCTAGGTTGACTAGCTTTACCTCTGCTTCAGTGTGTGCTTTTTCAAATCTCGACAATTACTTGTTTTCTGTATGAATATGTAACTAGCAAATCTATTAATTACAATTCCCCATATGTCTTGACTGACAATTACATTTGTGTGCTTTAATAATTAATACAGCTCATCACTTAGAATATTTATCAACTAACAATGCATCAACAGTGGGCTCATGGGTAAACATTATAATGAATTAAAATGTAACCCAATTCAAAAGCATAACTTCGGACATTTTTAATATTTAAAGTAATTAAAGTATTTCAATTCTAAAAGCTTGAAGCAATGCCAAGGCAAGATTAACAAGATACAAAGATGATTCAATATCTTTGAAGTATATGAAATCTAAGTCAGAGCTTCCTCATTTTCATTGATCTCACTAGACACTCAGTGCCAACCTGAATTTGCTTACAAGTTAATACATCTAATTTGAGGGATAAGAAATAACTCAAAGCTTATCTGAAATCTAGCCCTTTAAGTAAAGAAAAAGGTGCATGATCATTTCTTTAGTTTCTTTCTTGCTCTTTTGTACTTATATGTTATATCTATATGTACTTGGCCTATTAACTCTGTATCTATGTATATTAAAGTATCTTAGGCAACTGGAAAATTATGTACTAAAAAATTCCAAATAGCAGGGCTATTAAAAACAATTCAGTGCTATTTGAACTAGCCAATCATAAAGTCAATGCGTTGCATTAAAAGCTATCTACTTTGTAATTTGCTATTATTGTTACTATTATTTTAGAAAATATTATTCTACGTATAGACTTTTTGGACTGATTAAGATCTACTGTATTAGGATGCAGAATAACCTGAGTTACTCATGTTATTCAGAAAATTAGGATGCAGCATAGTTTTCTGAGTAACATGAATAGCAGGTCTTCTGCTTATGCTTGGGCGTCCAGAGAATTTCTTCCAAAATGTTTTTCAAGGCACACATACAGCCATACTACATATATACGTACATATGTATACTATATGTTTGTATCACAAACCATGTAATAAATCTTTAGATGTACAAAAATATATATTTCAAATAATACAATTATAAGAATATTTTGCACTTTATTTTAAATGCTAATTCTCATCTAACTGAAATTCTGCATTGCAACTGCAATCAATACCAAAAAAAATTTGTTCTACCATTTACAGTTACCATATTTTCAATGATGTAATAAACTAATTGGCTACTACGTGCTGTGGTGAGATCACGCACCTCTGCCCCCAACCAGTCACTGATCACAGCCCTTCACAGTCATTTCATCCTGGACTGTTGGCTGGCCTGCCCCTTCGGAAGGGACCTATCACCTTAAAAAATGGTGGATTTCCCCCCCTCCCCAGGTAAGATTGACAAGAATTCTGTCACTTTCCCTTTCTAGCCTATGTCAGTGATAAAATCATGGTCTTTTCTTTTCCCAACCTCCCATCACTAGTCTATCAATGAATGGAAGTTATTAAGGCAAGGGAGAGTCAATAGACAACAGCTTGTAGAAAAAGTGTGTCAGTGGAAATTTTGTTCAGAGAAGAAATTACATTTCTGAAAATGGAACTTTATAATGCAGTATTTGAACAAATTAAATGATATATACCAACCATAAAATTATAAAACTGCCTTAGGAAATTACAGCACTGGTATAAAATAAAATCCTTTCCTGTACAGCAAGGGAAAGAAGTCTACAAACACATTTAACAAATTCAGTGATTTTCCCCACCTTTCTTGCAATTTTTCCACACAATTTTTCTTGACTTCTCAAAATGTCTGTTCATCCAAATAAGAAGAATTCTTTCAGATGAAGAATATATATTACTTGACAAAGGATCAATGCTTATTTCTGGAAGGTGGTGTGCATCTTCTGTGTTGGTCTGACTAACGTCGTCAAGAACAGAGACTCGCTGGAGAATCAGAATCTGAAACAGCAAGCTATATTGCTTCTTACCAATAACCAATTGTACATTTATGTAAAGTCCTACTAAATCAAATTTTATTTTCCAGTCTTTCTATTTATGCAAGAGTTACATTTTATAACTTGTGATGCTATTATAAGAACATTCATGTTTCATATTTACCTTTGCTGAATGCCACACATGGACTTAGGGGTTCTAATCAGTGTTAGAAACAAACTCAAGTAACTATGAATGCTCATGTTTTTAAAAAGAAAATGTCTATTGATTCTTTGTTACAACAGTGGTCTAATATAATGTAAGAACTACATTCATTGAACCTATAATTTTTTCCACTCTTATCCGGGGATAAAAATCCCAGTGACCTCAGTGGTATATATTAGGTAGATAGTCATAAGGTTACACTGTAATACTATTACAGACTGAACCCTGAACATTTGCATTATGTCTAGCAAACTGCATTCCTTCCCTTCCCAGTTATAGCAAACCAAACCTTTATCACTACTTTCAATGTTTCAGTTGAATCACTGGGAGTCAGGTGGCATATAAACAACTATTATTGTTGGCCACACAATCAGCCAGATGTTCAGACTGAATTTGGCATTTTTATCCACTTATCGAGTCCTTTCCAAGGACCTGAGGTAGGCAGATGTTGTTGTTTGATGGTTTGATGGTGTTAAAGATATTGTCACAGGATATAAGCTGTTCCTTTTGCAATTGACTGATGGTGACTTTGTCAATGCCAATGGTGTTCAAGTGGTGCTCCAGATGTTTTGGGATTGCACCTAAGGTGCCTATAACTATTGGTACTGCCATTGCTTTCTTTTGCCATAGTCATCCTACTTTTATTTGCAGGTCTTTATATTTTGTGATTTTCTACAGTTCTTTCTCTTCTAATCTGCTGTCTCCAGGTATTGCAATGTCCACTATCCAGACTTTTTTGTCTTTCTTATCAACAATTGTTAAGTCTGGGGTATTCTGTGCCAGGATGATGATGATGATGATGATGATGATGATGATGATGATGATGATGATGATATGATGGGAGTCAGAGGGCGGGCCACTCTCGGGGAAG